ATGTCATCAAGCGCGGCCCTCGTGCCGGCCAGGTGTGTGGCGGCACCAACCACGCCGTTGCCTGCTGCTTTAAGAAGAAGGATGACGAGTGGTATGGCGTCAATGGGACCGCCTCCAAGCCGCCAAGCTGGATGGTCAATCGTGCTCCTCACCAAGTCAATCAAGTCGAAGCGCAGGAATCCGTGCAGGCTGCTGTAGCTCCCACTGCTGATGTGCGCCTCCACATGTTGTTCCCTGGCACTGCCATGATTAATGAGACGATTTCGCAGTATCCTGGCTCACAAAGCACCTCAGCCACAATAGAGTTCACCCTCGACAGTGGGGCCACTCACACGGTTCTCAAGGAAGAACACTCCTTCAAGCCATACGAGACACCAATCCGTCTACTAGGAGCAGACTCCAGTTTCACAACACACGCCAAGGGCTCCTCCACAGTTCCGTGCCCAGCTTTTCCTTCGGGCAGTGTGACTGGCACGTGGGTTCCCACACTACGCCACAATCTCGTGGCCCAACACGAGCTCCAACGGGCAGGCGTCACCACGATCTTCCCAGCACACTCGGATCACTGTGACCTCTTCGACCCTAAGTCCAACAAGCTCCTAGCACGCTTCACACTCAACAGTAGCAAGCTCTACACGCTGCGTTCACCTGCACCTCTCGCCGCCCTCTCCCAAGCGCAAGCTGCCAGCACCACTCCGTGTTCGTGTCGCAGCTTCGCCAACCCAACCATCCTCTACCACCATCGCTTGGGTCACCCCAACTTCCGTACACTTGCCGACATCGCTTCCAAGAAACTTCTTCTTGGCCTCCCGTCGGCGCTTCCTCCACCAACAGACTCACCTGCACCCACCTGCCTGGACTGCACCAAGAGCAAGCTCAGGCAGCAGCCTCACCCTTCCTCCCCATCCGTCGCAGCTGCTCCGCTGGACCTAGTGCACATGGATGTCTGGGGCCCAGCTCCAGTCGCATCCCGAGGCGGTCATCGGTACTTTCTTACACTAGTCGATGACCACTCGCGGTATGTTTCTGTGCACCTCCTGCATACCAAGGCGGAGGCACCTGATGTCATCATGGCGTGAGTGCGCCAGGCTCAAGTCACGTTCGACACTCCTCTGAAGTGCTTAAATTCTGATGGCGGGGAGAATTTCGCAATGGCAAACTCGATAACTTCTGTGCGGCACAAGGGATTCGGCAAACCTTCACGCTCCCCGAAAGCCCGCAGCAGAATGGCATTGCAGAGAGCCGCAACCACACCTTGGTTCAGATCGCTCGCTGCCTCCTCAGTCACGCCAACGCACCACGGTCACTCTGGGGATATGCCCTCTTCCATGCGGCACTCCTCTACAATCTTTATCCGCATCCCCACCGGCCCGACACCACACCTACCGCTCTCTGGCTTGGGGTCACGCCTTCCGCCCGCTCTCTACGCGTCTGGGGGTGTACCGCGTATGTATTGCTAAGCCCCCACACGCGCAGGAAGCAAGGTGGCAAGCTTGGTCCCAAAACCCAGACCTGCATGTACCTGGGGCACAACTCCGACTCCCCAGACTACTTATTCCTCAACCCCATCACCAATCAGCTGATTCGCAGCCGTGATGTCGTCTTCGATGAGACACGCCCATTCCACTCTGCGACCACGGGCGAGCCTTCTCCACCTCCCCCGACGCTTGTTTGGGCAGACTTTGATGCCCCACCTCCGGCCGCTGCCCCTTCTCCGGGGCCTTCTCCGTCCGGCGTGTCTCACCCGGCCTCCGCAGTATCCTCCGCAGCGGCACCTCCTCCTGCTCCGCCTTCCCCGCGCGTCGAGCCCGGCTCACCAGTCTCCTATCGGAGGCGCCCAGTCCCTCCGGTCCCACCGCAGCCGCCTTCGTCTCCGGTCTCTAGTCGCACTCATTCCAAGGGACCGGCTCCGCCTCTCGCCTGGGGGACCAGCCGCCTTCTCCATCCGGTGTTCGGTCACCCCGCCTCCTCCTGCCGGGGGTGATGTCCCCTCCATCCGTATTCCCCCCCGTGCACTTCTGGAGGACAGGCATGAGGAGCTGTTTGACCTTCACGCGGTCTGCCAATTTCTCTCTCACATCTTCCCGGACATTACTGACTGCCCTTCCCTCAACTTCACCGAGAACCCGACCATTCCGACTCCTCGCACAAAAGAGGAAGCTCTCTCGGGGCCTTATAAGAAGGAGTGGAAGGCAGCAATGGATGTGGAGAACGAGGCGTTCATTCGCAACAACAGCTTTGAGGATGTTGTTCCCCCTTGCGGTGTCAACATCGTCGGCGGAAAATGGATCTTCCGAGTCAAACAACTCCCAGGCGAAGCTCCACTGTTCAAGGCACGATACGTGGCGAAGGGTTTCACCCAGAAGGAGTATCTCGACTTCTTCAAAACATTCTCGCCCACGGCCAAGCTCCCGACTGTGCTCGCTCTTCTTGATATAGCCGCTCGCGGCAACTTCGAGATCAAGTCCATGGACGCCTCCTCCGCCTTTCTTCAAGGCCAGCTCAAGGAGGATGTTCACATGGAACGCCCACCAGGGTTTCCTGGCACTTACCCTGCCAACACAGTGTGGAAGCTGAAGCGCCCAGTGTATGGCCTCAAGCAGGCTCCTCGTGAGTGGCACAACAAGGTGAAGGAAGTCCTCCTCGCACTTGACTTCCATCCCTCTACCTCAGATTCCAGTCTCTTCGTTCGTCACTCCTCCGAGCCCTTCTACATCCTCGTCTACGTCGACGACTTCATTCTAGCCGCCAGAGATCCAGCCGACATGGCAGCTGTCCAGTCTGCTCTCAGCTCCGCCCTTCTCATGAAGGATCTTGGTGACCTCAAGAACTACCTGGGGATGGAGATCACTCGTGACCGCCAGGCTTGTACGATCACCCTCTCCCAGGAGTCCTACATCGACAACCTTCTCAAGCGGTTCGACATGGACTCCAGTAACTCTGTCTCCACTCCACTCCTACTACAGCATCAGCTCACGGCCCCTCCAGTTCCTTCTCCTGACGCCTGCAAGGACCCGTACCCTGAGCTAGTCGGTTCACTCATGTATGCCATGATGTGCACTCGACCAGACTTGGCTTACCCGGTTAGTGTCCTCTCTCGGTACGTCTCCCCCGGACGCTACACTGCCTCGCATTGGTCTGCAGCCAAGAGGGTCCTCCGCTATCTACAAGCCACCAAGTCTCACATCCTCACTCTTGGTGGTACCTCTCCAGTCAAGCTCGAGGGATACACAGACTCCTCATGGGCCGATGACCAGACTGACAGACGCTCCTCCCAGGGGTACTGCTTCACCCTTGGTAGCGGAGTCATCAGCTGGCGCTCCACTCGGTCCTCTGCAGTCTCCCTGTCGTCCTGCGAGGCCGAGCTCTACGCGGGCACAATGGCTGCTCAAGAGGCACGCTGGCTCTCCTTTCTCCTCGCTGAGTTAGGCTACCCCCAGCAGTTGCCCACCCTGTGGTGTGACAACCAGAGTGCCATTCATCTCACCAAGGATCCTGTATTCCACTCTCGCTCCAAGCATATCGAACTTCGTCATTTCTTCATCCGAGATCTTGTTCAGAGTGACCAGCTGACGGTACGGTACATCGCATCAGATTGCAACCTCGCCGACCTCTTTACCAAGGCTCTCGGCAAGGCTGACCACCATCGCCTTCTCCGTTCCATGGGGCTATGTGCTCCTTGACCGGGTTTGCAGTCTATGGGGGTGTGTTAGAAATAGACTGCAAACAACACTTTTGTATTTGTACTTTTATATCATAGTTTAGGTTGTGAATGTTCTAGTGGGTTGGGGTGTACTCACAAATCCCAACCTCACCCAATTGTGATCCCCACAATCTCCAATTACCCAATTGGAGATTCCGGAGATCCCAATGGGGATTCCCTCCAATTCCCCCTTCATCCATTCTCTCTCACCTTGCCTTGTACTTATAGAGCCTTGGGCTCCTTACCTAATCAATCATTTGAACTATTTTTCTTACAGATAGGGCATAGAGTGATCGATTGCTACTCGAACCCCAATGGCCGGAGTTATAGGGGAACAGAGCAGCAAGGTTCAGCACCGGCAAAGGCAGCTGAAGCAGAAAAAGGGGGAGCTGATATTATTTTGGGTGGTGCACACAAGGCGAACGTGGCACGTGCATCAGGAGTGTGTCTGCTGGCAAAAGGGGGGCGGAGAAGCTGCATGGTACATGGACAGCGGGTGCACTCAGCACATGACTAATCACAGTGTTTGGCTGAATGGTTTGAGGGCGTCACGTGTGCCGTATGTGCTTGTGGGAGATGACCGGAAATTGCAAGTGAAGGGAGAGGGATATCTGGTTTTGCAAGGGTATTATGGGGAATTGAAACAGGAGAATGTGCTGCTGGTTGATGGTCTGTCACTGAACTTGATCAGTCAGTCACAGCTTGACAACTCTGGATGCAAGAAATTCAGTAACAAGGGCAGCGTGTGGATGTTTCACCATGCATGGAATGTGGTTGCCAAGGGGATGCTGAAGAATGGGCTGTATGAGATGCTGTTGAATGAGAAGGGCATGACAGCTGAGAAGGTTACGTATACCAGCCACCGACGGAGGAAGGGGTGCTGGCAAGGGAGGAGCTGCACACTAGCTTGTAAAAGTGTACCTGTAGAGGAGCTGCAGAAGGAAGTGGTATTGATGGTGGCAGCAGCGGCAAGGGTGGACATGGAAACCCTGCAGAGGAGGTTGGGACATGCAGGGATGGAGTGGATTAAGGAGTAAGTGCAGAAAGAGGTAGCAAATGGAGTGGAGCTGAAGGATGGGGATGGGAGCAAGGGAATTGTGACAAGTGTGTGAGGGGAAAAATTACCAAATCCCCCGATCCCAAGCATCAGGTACAGGAGCCATATGGAGCGCTGGAGATAGTAGTAGCTGATGTGTGTGGGCCGCTGAGGGTGGCATCCAGGCACAGGAGCAGATACTTCATCACCTTTACAAACCTAGGGACTAGGCACACGTGGGTGGTACACGTGACACAGAGGTCTTCTCTAGTTTTCTGGACTGGATGGTGGAAGCAGAAAGGCAGAGTGGGAAGCAGCTGAAGGTGCTGAGAAGTGACAATGCTGGGGAGTTTGTCAATGAGGATTTCAACAGCCACCTGCATTCCAACGGGACTCTGAGGCATCTGGCAGTGCCTTACACTCCACAGCACAACAGTATAGCAGATACGGTGAATAAGTCACTGCTGGACTGTGTAAGGACACTGCTGGCAGACAGCGGATTATCACGGAAGTTCTGAGGAGATGCCTTAGGGATGGCTTGTTGGGTCAAGAACGGGCTACCTACCTTGAGCTTGGCAGCAGATATGACCCCACATGAAGCATTCTATGGGAGGACGCCGAATATGGGGCTGGCTCGGGTGTGGGGCTGCATAGTACAGTACACAGGGAGCCAGCTGGACCAACCCATAAACTGTTGGTGCATATTCATTTGCACGTCATCCTGTCGTCTGTTTGAATCATTTCGTTTGCATGTGTTTTGTGTGCTACGTTGTTTGTATGGTTTGTTGGGTTTGCATGTCTTTGCATGTTCATCTTGTGCTTGTGCAGATGTGCTTGGATTGTGCATGACATCGAGCACATTCCAACGAGCCAAGAATTGTTGGAATCGGAGCACATATGAAGAAGTTACGAAGAAATGTTTGATGGATTTGTTACAACTCGTTGGAAGTCCTTGTCAGCTGCTACACCAAAGTTGGAGAGCCCTATAACGAGGAGGGACCAGCATGTGTGGGACTTTTGCCCCCACCTTGCAGCTGCAGCATTTGGGGTTTGGAGGCCAACCTGGCACAGTGTGAATTTTGTCTTGCCAGGCTGGCTGAACCTGAGGATGGGGAGTCAAAACTTTGACTCTTGTCATGTTCTTGACCATGGGCCTCCAGGGTCCTTCCCTTTCATCCTTCCCTTCCTACCCCACCTTCCAACTGCGCTTCAATGCCTTTTCCATCATGTCTCTGATCTTGTAAGCTTCCATCATAGTGACTCTGAGGACTGTCAACTTCTCCTAGGGCAGATTACCCCCCAGTGCGCCAAACGCCATAGCTCACTCGTTAAGCTACGGAATCGAGTGATTCAACTTGCAGTGGAAAGCTGACGCTGCCAGCTACAACATATCCGATTTTCAGATCGTTTCATCGATTGGAGTTTTTGATATAGCTATTCGAAGGTCGCGAGTTTTCTGGGCGTCATAACGAAGTGCTGCAGAAATTTCCAAGGAGCCATTGAATCATCTGCTTATAGCCTTCTCTAACCAACATAAAATACTACCTAGAAGTAAATGGGGCTGAGCCTTGGGATGTGCATGGTGAGCAAGGATGTGAAGAGGAAGGTGGTGGTGACCAGAGATGTGATATTCTATGAGAATGTCACCTACTTGAAATGGAAAAGGGTGAGTTCGGACATTGGTAACAGCCAGGGAAGCAGCTAACCTAGAGAAGGTAGAAGGGCTGCTGGAGGAGACAGCGATTGAAGGAATTGGAGAGGAATTAGGGGAGATTGGAGAAGAAGCAGCACATACATGGTGGGTGTGGGAGCTTCCAGAGGAAAGGGCCACAGAAGGGAGAAAGGGGATGGAAAAGGTGAGGCAGCAGGAGATAGAGCCAGGGGAGAAGGATGCAATGGCAGAGGTGGAGATGGCACATAGGGAGAGTGAGCAGGGATGAACTGCACAGGATGACCATGATCCATGGAAGCTACTAGATATTGCAGATAACCGTGAAGCAGAGGAGATTGAGAAGCTATTAGAGGATGGAGCAACAGCGAAAGGGGTTCTAGGACAAGACGAGTAAGGGGCAGATATCTTCCATCTATCTTCCATCTTCCATCTTCCATCTTCCAGGGGAAGTAAAGAAGGTGTGCGAGCACCTAGCTGAAGTGTTCCAGGTGAAGCAGATTCCGAGGACAACGCTGTTCTGGGGATTAACCTGGAGAGGAACAGGGAAGAGAGGAAGCTGTCCTTGTATCAGCAGAAATACTACAAGAGGGTGGAGCAGAAGTTTGGTCATGGCTATGCGAAGGCCATTACGACATCTTTGTGGATTGTATCTCATTTGTTTCTAGTGCAAATTGCTGTCAGCTCGTATTGACGACTAGCAGCTACTTTGAGACCACATTTGAAGGCAAGGCCTTAGAGGCTATTGCACGAGTATTTTCTAAATGCTTTTAGCTGCGCCGGAGGCAATAGTTGTCTAGAGATAGAAACATTGAAGCACAATTGGAAGATAGGGTAGAAGGGGAGGATGAAAGGGAAGGACCCTGGAGGCCTTTGGTGAAGAACATGACAAGAGTCTAAGTCTTGACTCCCCATCCTCAGGTTCAACCAGCTTGGCAAGACAAAATCCCCAATGTGCATATTGTGCGAGGTTGGCATCCAACCCCCAAATGCTGCAGCTGCAAGGTGAGAACAAAAGTCCTACACATGATGATCCCTCCTTCTTATAGGGCACTCCAACTTTGGTCGTCATATGTGCTCCAATTCCAACAATTCTTGGCTCGTTGAAATGTGCTCGATGGCGTGAACAATCCAAACACATCTGTTTACGCACAAAATGAGAATATGAGGCACACAAACCCACCAAACCACACAACATATGGCATTGCACTCCAAACCCATGCAAACAAAATGGTGCAAACAGACGATGTGATGCCATGCAAACGAGAATGCACCCAATAGTCCTAGATTCGACTAATAATGTCAATTATATTATCCATAAGTGTCATTGCCACCTGCAACGTTCATTAGAATAGGGTAAGTAGGGAGTTGATATTATAACTCGAAAAAAACGTGCATCAAGAACGGATTTGACGATTAGAAAGTCAGGTTGTGGTTTTTTTGGGGTTGCGGAGCAACCTATTGCGATCGATCGGACGAGATTTTTTTTCAAGTTTAATTAATAAATTTGTGAAAAAAGCTATTATATTGAAGTAAAAGATGGAGATTAATGACCAATATAGTAGGAATCATTCATTTTAACTATATGGATTCATTAGCTTGACTATGTAAATAGTTGGATAAAAGCGCCATACTAGAACTACGTACCATAATGCTATACTTCAAGATTGAGAATAATAAAAAACAAATGTGTTCATGTTTTCCATTCTTTCTTGTTTTGTGTTTTTAGAAAAAAAGGAAAGAAAAAAAAATATCTCTTCCTAAACTATTTTAATGGGATTTTGTTATATATATGTAATATAGTGTAATGTATTAATTACACTATATTATTGGTAAAACAAATTATGGAAAACAAAAATTGTAAATGTTTTCCATAATTGCAAAACCACGTATTTTTGTCGACGACAAAAAAAGGCAATCGCTTCCCCAGCTAAGTGGGGGAAATCGAAAGCCTAGTGGACAAGTCACACGACATATTTCGAGGCAGTACATTTCATGACAATAACAAAATGGATTGCACTCATCATCTCCAATTCAAATGACTGCACTCAATATGGAAAGTCAAAAAAACTTACTTGAGACAATCAATACAACCCACTTTCTTGCATACACAAAATGCACCACCCGTCTATCAAACAAACAGTAGCAAAATGGAAAAAGGTCCCATCCCAACACAAAGCAAAAGAACGAGAACACCGACACAACGCATGGACTCTAAGATGCATGAGGAGAAAGAAATATCGCAAGAAGCATAAAACATTTAAAACATGTTATTCTAGATAAAAACCACTGTTGGAAACCAGAGATCTCTTCCTGAAGCATTCCTGATGCACCAACACACGTGGAAAAACGAAGAAGAAGAAAAGAATACAAGTTAATTGAGAAAACAAGACATGGTAGAATACGGGAAATGAAAACGAGGATTGAAGAAATGAACGACATATCAGACAGGGGTAAGAAAATGGGACGAGAGATGTTGAGATGGAGAGAGGGGTGGGGGTGGGGGAGGGGGGGATGAGAAAACCGGGAAATGAGAAAATGGTCAATGGGAAAATTGAGACAATGAGAGAATTAGAAAATGGGCGAGTGGTCAATAGTAGAATGTGACAATGAGAGAATAAAAAAAGTAGAGGATGAGAAAATGAGGGAAGGAGGGAACAATGGTAGAATGAGTCAATAAGAGATGAGACAATGAGAGAATGTGGGAGTGAATGGGAGAATGAGAGCATAAAGAAACAAGATAATGAGTGAGTTGGCTAATGCGTAAAAGAAGTAGGAAAATACAACAATGCGATATCAAGAGCATTATAGAATGATCTACGGGAGAATGAGACAATGAAAAAATCAGAAAACCAGAGAATGAGAATATGGGAGAATGGTCAATGGGAGGATTGAGAAAATGAGTAAATTGAAAAAACTAGAGAATGAAAGAATGAGGTAGGGATGGAACAATGGGAGAATCAGAAAACCAGATAATGAGAGAATGATAGAATGCGAGAATGAGAGTGAATAGGAGAATGAGAGAAAAAATAACAGAGAATGAGTGAGTGGGCTAATGTGTGAAAAGAGAAGTGGTCGCAAGAATAAGAAAAGAATGAACACAAACACAAGTTTAAAGGTATTGCACGGGAAATGGAAATGAGGATTGAAGAAACGAACGACGTATCAGATAGAGGTTCAACAAATCTAAAGAGAGAGAAAATGGTAAGAAAGCGAGAGGGGGAGAGAGAGAGAGAGAGAGAGAGAGAGAGAGAGAGAGAGAGAGAGAGAGAGAGAGAGAGAGAGAGAGAGAGAGAGAGAGAGAGAGAGAGAGAGAGTGAGAGAGAGAGAAAGAGAGAGAGAGAGAGAGAGAGAGAGAGAGAGAGAGAGAGAGAGAGAGAGAGAGAGAGAGAGAGAGGGAGAGAGAGAGAGAGGTAGTCTGAGAGAGAAAGAGAACGAGAGAGATAGAAGACAACGAGAGAGAGAACGATAGAGAGAGAGAGAGAGAGAAAGAGATAGAGAGAGAGAGAGGTAGGGTGAGAGAGAGAGATACAGAGAGAGAGGGGGGGGGGCACAGAGAGAGAGGGAGAGAGGGGCAAAGAGAGAGAGAGAGAGAGGGAGAGAGAGAGGGAGAGAGAGAGGGGCAGAGAGATAGAAGTAGTGCGTATGTTTGTGAGAGGAAAAGAAAGTGTGAGAGAGAGAGGTAGTGTGTGAGAGAGAGAGAACAAGAGAAAGAGAGAGAACAGAAAGAGAGAACGAGATAGAGAGAGAGAGAGAGAGAGAGAGAGAGAGAGAGAGAGAGAGAGAGAGAGAGAGAGAGAGAGAGAGAGAGAGAGATAGGGAGAGGTAGAGAGAGTGAGGTAGGGTGAGAGAGAGAGAGAGAGAGAGAGAGAAAGAGGGAGAGAGAGAGAGAGAGAGAGAGAGGGGGGGGGGGAGCAGAGAGAGAGTGAGGGAGAGAGGTAGTGTGAGAGAGGAAGATAAGGAGATATAGAGAGGATAAAGAGAGAGAGAACGAAAGAGAGAGAGAGAGAGAGAGAGAGAGAGAGAGAGAGAGAGAGAGAGAGAGAGAGAGAGAGAGAGAGAGAGAGAGAGAGAGAGAGAGAGAGAGAGAGAGAAGGGGGGGAGGGGGGGGGGGCAAAGAGAAAGAGGCAATGAGAGAGCGAGAGAGAGTCCCCGCCAGTCCCCTAATCAACCCCGTCCCCCCCCCCCGTCAATCCCGCCGTCAATGCCGCCCTCGCCAATCCCCCGTCAATTCCGTCGCCAATCCCGTCACCATTCCCCCCGTCAATCCCGCCGCCATTCCCCTCCGTCAATCCCGATGTTGAAACCCCTTACTAGAAGAGATGGAAAAACGATTTTGAAAAGAGAAAAATGAACCCATAGAACTACTTGCCTTGGGTAGGAATTTAGGTGGCGAGGTGGCATGGCTGAAACCGCAACGTGAGAAGCGAGCATAAGGAAGCAAAAACAGAGGGCAGAACCCTAGGAGCGTTTGATTTGTCGCAACTAAAAAACAATTGTTTTATTCAGATTCACGATATGTGTATTCTAATTAGCGTGATGGGTAGTAGGTTTGAGTTTTGGCAGATGACCCAGGTTCGATTCTTGGAAACAGGGATTATCCCTCAATTTTCGAGTTGGCTGTGTCAAACCTGGAAAACGATAGCGATGCACTATTAAAGCGAGGGGTCAAAATAGTGAAGGCGGGTCCAACTAGAAAAGGCCCCGACGTCGGTTTTTGCGACTAAGGGACAAAACTGCGACGGGGCAGAGGGTACACTGTCGAGAAATGCAAGCAGGGGAAACTGGGCGAGAAGATGCAGTTACCTGATTGGTTGGCGGGGAAAACATGACGTACGGTGGGGAAAATGGCTTGGGCAAAATCGCAAGGAGCGCGCCACCTGTCGCCCAGCCCCCACTGCTTGTAAGCTGCACCAAGTGGGCCCAACTTGAATTTCAAGTTGGACCCGGGTTCACTACTCCAGCAAAACTGAGGCTGGGCGGCTGGGCCCTGATTGGTCAAAATGCTAACCACGCAAATCTATGGTCGTAAATTTTGTCGCCAGTGCGAAATGTCGCAAGCACAATTCGATTTCGTGGCCTACGGCTTGGTAAAAAACGGGGGCTGCTGCCCGCCCCTCCAAAAACATATTCACTGTTGGGTCGTTTCTAGTTGGACCCAACTAGAAAGTGGGTTTACTATTATAGTCTATAGCTTAAAAACAATGTATACAAACGATTTATACTAACACTTTATTCACAACTGTAAAATAGCATTGCATCAAATGGTAATTGTCATAATCTTGATGTAAAATGCAAAATCACATGCCTAAACTTGCAAAAAATACAAAAATAGCTCCGCAACCCTAAGATGATTTAGTCCACTCTTGTTTTTTTCTTCTTCTTCTTTTGGCTTACTTCTCAGATTCCTGCACTCTTGAGGTCTTTGGCCTATAAAACTCGAACATCCAATTTAAATAGGCTTAGATTTAGATGCTCTGATAATAAACCTGTGGTGGTAGACCAAATGTGGATTTTACTAATGCGAATGATCGGCCGCTCCTTCCGGAATTCACATATCTTAGTGAGCAGTCGATGGCCCGATGCCCTGGAAATGCATGAAGGGGAATTTAGCGCTTTGGGTAGAAGCATGACGCACAAGACGGGTAAATTGCACTCTACTAATACAATGGGCCGGGCCAGCATAACACACACATCACGCATGACTTGGAGTGAATGTGACTCGTTTATCATGATAAACATGCAATGAGAATACCGTAATCTCCCAGAAGAGCACCCTTGGTCTTGCTAAATTTTCAGAAAAATACGTTGGCTGATGGTAATTATCAGGACCCATGTGCACTTAATTACTACATAAGTTGGTTTATTTTACCATATAATAGTTTAAGATTAGTCTTTACAAGGGTTCATATACGCGGGTCAGTAAGCAGAATTCTTGTCCTCACATCGCGAACCCATCACGAAGGCCATGCATCACGTTTTCAACTCCGACGGCTGGTGAATCTGGTGCGCTGGCATATCGCGCAGCCTCTTTGACTGGCAGCAGCGGGGGGGTGGTTTGGTTCAAGAAAGCTGCCCAAAGGTTCGCCCCTTGAGTGCTTTCCCTTGCCAGTCAGGCAGGATTCATCGTGAACGGACTCAAATTCCCCTATTGCAATGAGACATGTTTGCTCTTTCTGGCAACGCTCACTCCTGGATCTTCGCTCGTGGTTTTCCGGCGACACTTGACAGAAGTTGGCGAGAGAGTTCATTGATTGGAATCTGAATGTTGGGTAGCCACCAAAAATAAGGAGGTCGTAAGATAAGGATCTGCTTGAACACGAACATGAATAAATACCAGACGAACTTTCATTCCCAAACATGCAGCTGGGCACAAAGCAAGCCAAGGAAGTACTTAGCAATCTTTTTACCTTTACGACTTCTCTTTCTTCGCTTCTGTGTATTTAAGGGGCGAGTTGCTGCGATAAGAATCATTATACTCCCTCCATTCCCGCTTAAAGACGAGTCTTTTACTCCTTGCCATTTTCCGGCCTCTCCCAACTCTACCGCTGCAGTCACTTCCTGATCTTGCGCATCCTCCTCCTCTCCCTCCTCACATTGCGCATCCTCCTCTCTCTCCTCTGTAAGAAATAGAGCTGAAATGATTAATTAGGTAAGGGGCCCAAGGCTCTATAAGAACATGGCAGGGTAAGGGAGAATGGATGAAGGGAGAATCGGAGGGAATCCCCATTGCGATCTCCGGAATCTCCAATTGGGTAATTGGAGATTGGGGGGATCACAATTGGGTGAGGTTGGGATTTTGTGAGTACACCCCAACCCACTAGAACATTCCTAACCTAAACTAGGATATAAAAGTACAAATACAAAAGTGGGATTTGCAATCTATTTCTAACACACCCCCATAGACTGCAAACCCGGTCAAGGAGCACATAGCCAAGAGCCTTGGTAAAGAGGTCGGCGAGGTTGCAATCTGAGACGATGTACCGTACCATCAGCTGGTCATTCTGAACAAGATCTCGGATAAAGAAATGACGGAGTTCAATGTGCTTGGTGCGAGAGTGGAACACAGGATCCTTGGTGAGGTGAATGGCGCTCTGGTTGTCACACCATAGGGTGGGCGACTGCTAGGGGTAGCCTAACTCAGCGAGGAGAAAGGAGAGCCAGCGTGCCTCTTGAGCAGCCATTGTGCCTGCGTAGAGCACGGCCTCGCAGGACGACAGGGAGACTGCAGAGGACCGATTGGAGCGCCAGCTGATGACTCCGATACCAAGAGTGAAGCAGTACCCTTGGGAGGAGCATCTGTCAGTCTGGTCATCGGCCCATGAGGAGTCTGTGTATCCCTCGAGCTTGACTGGAGAGGTACCACCGAGAGTGAGGATGTGAGACTTGGTGGCTTGTAGATAGCGGAGGACCCTCTTGGCTGTAGACCAATGTGAGGCAGTGTAGCGTCTGGGGGAGACGTACCGAGAGAGGACACTAACCGGGTAAGCCAAGTCTGGTCGACTGCACATTATGGCATACATAAGTGAACCGACTAGCTCAGGGTACGGGTCCTTGCAGGTGTCAGGAGAAGGAATTGGAGGGGCCATAAGCTGATGATGTAGTGGGAGTGGAGTCGAGACAGAGTTACTGGAGTCCATGTCGAAACGCTTGAGAAGGTTGTCGATGTAGGACTCCTGGGAGAGGGTGATCGTGCGAGCTTGGCGGTCACGAATGATCTCCATCCCCAAGTAGTTCTTGAGGTCACCAAGATCCTTCATGAGAAGGGCGGAGCTGAGAGCAGACTGGACAGCTGCCATGTCGGCTGGATCTCTGGCGGCTAGAATGAAGTCGTCGACATAGACGAGGATGCAGAAGGGCTAGGAGGAGGGACGAACGAAGAGACTGGAATCCGAGGAGGAGGGATGGAAGTCAAGTGCGAGGACGACTTCCTTCACCTTGTTGTGCCACTTACGAGGAGCCTGCTTGAGGCCATACACTGGAGCTTCAGCTTCCACACTGTGTTGGCAGGATAAGTGCCAGGAAACCCTGATGGGCGTTCCATGTGAACATCCTCCTTGAGCTGGCCTTGGAGAAAGGCAGAGGAGGCGTCCATGGACTTGATCTCGAAGTTGCCGCGAGCGGCTATATCAAGAAGAGCACGCACAGTCGGGAGCTTGGCCGTGGGCGAGAATGTTTCGAAGAAGTCGAGATACTCCTTCTGGGTGAAACCCTTCGCGACGTATCGTGCCTTGAACAGTGGAGCTTTGCCTGGGAGTGCTTTGACTCAGAAGATCCATTTTCCGTCGACGATGTTGACACCGGAAGGGGGAACAACATCGTCAAAGCTGTTGTTGCAAATGAACGCCTCGTTCTCCACATCCATTGCTGCCTTCCATTCCTTCTTATAAGGACCACAGAGAGCTTCCTCTTTTGTGCGAGGAGTGGGAATGGTCGGGTTCTCGGTGAAGTTGAAGGAAGGGCAGTCAGTAATGTCTGGGAAGATGTGAGAGAAAAATTGGCAGACTGCGTGAAGGTCAAACAACTCCTCATGCCTGTCCACCAGAAGTGCACGAGGGGGAATACGGATGGAGGGGACATCACCCCCGGCAGGATGAGGCGGGGTGACCAAACACTGGATGGAGAAGGCGGCCGGTCCACAGGCGAGAGGCGGAGCCGATCCCTTGGAACGAGTGCGACTAGAGACCGGAGACGAAGGCGGCTGCAGTGGGACCGGAGGGACTGGGCGTTTCTGGTAGGAGACTGGTGAGGTGGGCTCGACGAGTGGGGAAGGCGGAGCAGGAGGAGGTGCCGCTGCGGAGGATACCGGGGAGGCCGGATGAGACACGCTGGACGGAGAAGGCCCCGGAGAAGGGGCAGCGGCCGGAGGTACATGCAGGTCTGGGTTTTGGGACCAAGCTTGCCACCTTGCTTCCTGCGCGTATGGAGGCTGAGCAAGACATATGTGATACACCCCCAGACGCGTAGAGAGTGGGCGGAGGGCGTGGCCCCAAGCCAGAGAAAGGTAGGTGTAGTGTCGGGCCGGTGGGGAAGCGGATAAACATTGTCAATGAGAGCCGCATGGAAAAGGGCATATCCCCAGAGTGACCGTGGTGCGTTGGCGTGACTGAGGAGGCAGCGAGCGATTTGAACCAAGGTGTGGTTGCGGCCCTCTGCAATGCCGTTCTGCTGTGAGCTTTCGGGGAGCGTGAAGGTTTGCCGAATCCCTTGGGCCGCACAGAAGTTATCGAGTTTGCCATTGCGAAATTCTCCCCCGCCATCAGAATGGAGGCACTTCAGAGGAGTGCCGAACATGACTTGAGCCTAGCAAACCCATGCGATGATGACGCTAGGTGCCTCCGCCTTGGTGTGCAGGAGATGCACGGAAACAAACCGCGAATGGTCATCGACTAGTGTAAGAAAGTATCGATGACCGCCAAGGGATGCGACTGGAGGTGGGCCCCAGACATCCATGTGCACTAGGTCCAGCAGAGCAGATGCGACGGATGGGGAGGAAGGGTGCGGCTGCTGCCTGAGCTTGCTTTTGGTGCAGTCCAGACAGGTGGGTGCAGGTGAGTCTGGTTGTGGAGGAATCGCCGACGGGAGGCCAAGAAGAAGTTTCTTGGAAGCGATGTCGGCAAGCCTACGGAAGTTGGGGTGACCCAAGCGATGGTAGAAGAGGATGGTTGGGTTGGCGAAGCTGCGATAGGAACATGGAGTGGTGTTTGCAGCTTGCTCTTAGCAGAGGGCGGCGAGAGGTGCAGGTGAACGCAGCGTGTAGAGCTTGCTACTGTTGAGTGTGAAGCGTGCTAGGAGCTTGTTGGACTTAGGGTCGAGGAGGTCACCGTGATCCGAGTGTGCTGGGAAGATCGTGGTGACGCCTGCTCGTTGGAGCTCGTGTTGGGCCATGAGATTGTGGCGTAGTGTGGGAACAGACATGCTGGTAACACTGCCCGAAGAAAAAGCTGGGCACGGAACTGTGGAAGAGCTCTTGGCGTGTATTGTGAAACTGGAGTCTGCTCCTAGTAGACAGATTGGTGTCTCGTATGGCTTGAAGGAGTGTTCTTCCTTGAGAACCATCTGAGTGGTGTAAGAAATAGAGTTGAAAATATTAATAAGGAAAGGAGCCCAAGGCTCTATAAGTACATGGCAAGGTGAGAGTGAATGGATGAAGGAAGAATTGGAGGGAATCCCCATTGGGATCTCTGGAATCTCCAATTGGGTAATTGGAGATTGGGGGGATCACAATTGGGTGAGGTTGGGATTTGTGAGTACACCCCAACCCACTAGAACATTCACAACCTAAACTAGGATATAAAAGTACAAATACAAAAGTGGTATTTGCAGTCTATTTCTAACACACCCCCATAGACTGCAAACCCAATCAAGGAACACATAGCCCCATGGAACGGAGAAGGCGATGGTGGTCAGCCTTGCCGAGAGCCTTGGTAAAGAGGTCGGCGAGGTTGCAATCTGAGGCGATGTACCGTACCGTCAGCTGGTCACTC